TTGCTTTTGGCTATACTTTTTTAGCCATTATCAAGGATGAATTTTATTTTACTTTGAATGAATATATGGATTGTTTTATAAATGTATCTAGAATTATAGGAATGTTTGTGTTCATAGTTGATATTATTGAGTGCTAGTTTTTTCTTTTTTATTAATAATGCTTCCATTATTTTTAGCCTTTTGCACCTGTGGATGATGCTATTATATTTGAATTATCAACAAGTATGTATGGATAGAGTTTGGTAGGTCTCCATGTGTATTTAAATGAGACCTAATTGAGCTATGATTAGAGAGCTGTAATCTGAGTCTTCTTGTTAAACATGTTGTAGCATATCCACTATAATTATTTATAAATTTGGATTAGTCAGGAACACTGATCTTTTAAAGTTATTGTCAATATATGAAGTGTAGCTGTTATCAAAATATAATTTGTAAAGAACAAGATTTTATTAGTGACAATTTATACCTTGTTTTAATTGTGAAAATTCGAAAATTTCAATGACTTTTTTCATAATATAGAGCAGCATAAAATTGTTTGTGAATGGTGCTTAAAAGAAATTTTGACAAGTCAGCATCAAAGGCAAGAGATTTTATTAAAATCGTTTAACTACAAAAAGTAATTTCAGATTAGATCACTCCCTGTTTTTCTATGGTATGTATGAAATTTAAAGGCATGTTGGTTTCTGTGTTTAGTTCTTCGTGGAATATTTAAATATGCAATGAAATCACTATATATAAATTTTATCTGCTGTTATTGAATTGAATGCAGTTCATTTTGGACATTAGGCAAGTAAATCTTTTTTCTGTACAAAGAAACTTAGAGTTGTCTCCCTTGCATAGTTATCAGCCATCTTTCGGACGTCCGCACGTTTCTGACTTACGTAAAAATGGTTTATTGAGGTTTACGCCTAACTTGATTAGGTACGACGATTTACAACTGACGTACGTAAACTTGATGTTATCCTTCATTTATATATGTCTCTTTAAGTATTTTTTTTAGCTAAATTTTGGTGAAATCACTGCACCAATTCCCAAGGTTACCAAACCAATTCCTTGTTTTTTTCCAACTCCGTATTTTTGCTTTTTTATTTTTCAGACTTTTTCAATAACATTTTTATTTCAGGTTTGTTAAAACATTGTTTTATGCTTTCTTAGAATTAATTCAGAAGTTAGTAATTAATTCAATCTATTTTTACAATATAAAAGTAAGTGAAGTTTACTAGCATAAGAAATAATGAAATTAAGTAACTTATGGACAGTGACAAAAACAAAAAAATATATCTTTGGTCGGTGCTCTATCTCTCTCTCGAATTTAAAGTAAATCTATAAGTTATATAGTGTTACTTACACACACACACACACACTCACTGTAGTTCGTAGTATTGATTATAATTATATTAACATGTGGACGGACGCTTATGCCTCCCTCCTACGTACCATTACAAAGTTTTAAAAAAACCGTTTCACGTGTTTTTGTCATCAAGTCAAAAGTTCTGTAGCACGATTCAAGTACAATATCTTCCTGGTGATTGCGCAAAAAAATTCAAAACAATTACGTTTGTTCAAATTGGAGCACGATTTTGGAACAATAAAATAAAATTGATTTATTGGCTACGTACGTACGTCAGAATGGTTCATAAGTTTATATATTCAAAAGTCAAACTCAAATTTATCTTCTTTTTTTTCCATTTTTGTGTTTTTTTTTTTTTTGGCATAGAATCTCCGCGGGTTTATAAATCCGAGATTTTAAAAATTCAATAATCAATAATATGAAACATAAATTTTATATCATGAGTATTTATTATTATTTCTTGAATTTTTATTAAAATAATAAAAAAAAAAAGCTTTTTGTTGATTAGTTAATTTTCTATTTTTCTTCATTGTTTTTTTGGTAACTCAAACTGTTATTAAACACAGAATCAGCAAAGCACTCAATAATTTTATTAACTCATCATGAGCATAATGATGATTTCAATAAAAATCTGTAAATGAATAATCTTACTGAAACAATTTTAAACAGCAATATCTATAAACGGCAAAACGCAATCATTATTAATGAAAAAAAAATTAAAAAATAATAATTCTCCTAAGGATAATTGTTGTTCTCAGAGAGATTGCTGAAAAAGACAGTCCACTCTATCTTGAACTAAAAAATAACCTTGTTCACATTTAATTGATGCATTATAAATTGCAAATAGAAATAACATTTTTATTTTAGCATTCCATTACCTGTTTTTTTTTTTATAGGCTCTAAGTCTAATACTTTAAACAACTTGTATTTACATTAAAAAATACTTTAAGTATAATATTTAACTTTAAACTTGACATTTATTGTGTTAATTTTTAATCTTTGTTAATCTAGTTTGTTGGACTGAATTTACTGCAGCCACCATGCCTAAATATTATGAAGAAGAAGACAAAAGCTGGAAACGAGCTTGCTCAGGACTGCGTGAAGATTTGAAAGAATGCTTGGCTAATAGTGATTGCTGTGTTAAGGTACAAAGATTTAAAATGTCTTGTATATACATATATAGGTACATCAATAACTCCATAGACTAATGATGAAGAAAAGCATTTATTTTATACAACAAATACTATATTTTTTAACATTGGAGATACAATTTTTGAGGGGTGGGGAAAAATAAAATATTTACCTGAATCCTACTTTTTTTTTTTTCTTCAAAATTTTATAAGTCAAAATTGGAGGGTGTCTTTGTGAATGAACTTAATGCCAGAAAATATAGATATTATTTTTCAAACTAGTCTCTTTCCTTGTCACTTCTTCTCCATAGAATCACATAGATTAAAAACCAGTAAACATTTCAGATCAAAGTTAAACTGATAACTGTGTCAGTCTGCAGACTTATTGATCTACCATTATATATGATTTACTCTTTTTGATGAGATAAAAATGTAACTCCAAAAATCATACTTGTAGATCTGAGGATCTATATTTGATTAGTAAACAAAATTCATGAGTTAGTTTTTATTTACATCATCCATAAAACATGATAATTATTATTTAAATTAGTTATAGACAGACTAATGTCCCTGTCTTTGTTGTTATTATCACAATATTTCAGTCATTGTGCCCTCCAGCCTGTCAATCTGGGTAAACTTCAGGGAATTTTGAATTGAGCCTTTTATTTTATATAATCGATGGAGTTAGATTGTATTCATTCCACTATGTCTAGGGATAACTCATCTTTTACTTTTTAGTACTTTTCAGCTATTGTTCACCCTATTTTCCACTGTACTAACCAGCCTAGAAATTTAAATCACAATAACTATACCACTAAATTCATAAACCAATGCATCAATCCATTAAGCTGAGTGTAAAACTGGACAAGTGATAACTGAGCAATGCTAAAAACAAGATGAGGTATCCTTAGACATAGACAGTGGAATGAGAACAATCAACCTTTGAATTCTCTGAAGGCTAGCACAATTGACAAACACCTGAAAATGGTCAGAGGGCACAATGGTTAAAGCATTGTGGTTTTGGCAACAAAGATGGGGACATTAGTCTGAATGTAGTAAATAAAAACTCTTCACTTCAGAAATGATAATTGTCAAGGCTAATTGGAAAATATTTCTGAGATCAGAGGAAAGTTCAATAATAAGAATATCATGCAATATTTTCTTACAAGTGATATTATCTTCATTAATTTCTGTTTTCATTTGTTTCAGATTAAATTCATTTACTTGACTATAACAGTAAAATTTCATGATATAAGACGTAATTACATTTTAAATTTAAAATATTTTTAAATCTTTAAAACTTCTTAGAATACCTATTTTATAAATAACCTAGTATTGTTAATACCTATTTTTTTTAAAAATGCAGTACCAGTTATAAGAGAATGAATTATTAAAATCTACTTCTTTTTAACAGTAACTCATGATCTCAGAAGGAAATTGTAGCTCTTTGTATATATTTCAGGTACAAGAAGGCTTTTTATTGAAAGTGGATAGGGAAAAAAAATTTTTCAAAAAACACCTTTATCTTAAAAATTATATTGTAGACCCATTCTTCTATTTTTTGTCCTCATTCATTCACTTATTTGTTCAATGTATTTTTTCAAATAAATATATTTCTTGAATAACTTTTTTCCATAATCTCTTTCAATAAAAGGTTTTTCAGGCCAGGAGTATGTACCAAGATAAACAATTTCTATAAATTTCAAAAGCCTGTAGCAATTACTATTAATTAGAATTACATTTGAATAAATTGATTTCTTATTTTAACCAGGACTTTTTTATCTTTAAAGAAAATACATAAACCTTTTTTTACTTAGATTTCTCTTTAAAATACGTTATAATTTGCCTTTTTTTTTTTTTTTTAAAGGATGGCCTTACAATGAAGGAATGCCTGAGGCTGGGAAATCACCCATCTGTCCCATCAGAATGTATTGCTTTGAGAAACGCTTTTTTTGAATGTAAACGATCATTGCTTGATATGCGGACGCGGTTTCGTGGGCGGAAGGGAGATTGACCAATGCATTTTTTGTAGAATTATATATTAAATAAATAAATGAAGTCACTCTGCTTTGCTTTTTGGCTCTTTGAAAACAAATTACTTTCATAATTACTTCCCTTGGATTGGATAATATTTTCAAATTGACGATCAACGGGTCATTAGAAGACTCAAGTCAAGCTTTTACGCTTCGCTTGATGATAATTGGTAAAACATTTCAAAATAGTCAAAGAAAATCACAAATCCTACCTTCTTGTAAGAATTTAAGAAAGTAGCATTAATATAATTTTGAAGGAATTTTTCATTGTGAAGATTTTATGTCACCAACCGATTTCATTTTCTTAAGTAATTTATAAAGTACATAGTAGAAGTCTTTCCCTGTAAATTGTTAGTATTAATAACAACCACTAATGAAATAATGCTACAAGTTTGTTAGGTGCACACACTTGCAATACACTCAGTTTTTAATCTATATACCAATATTCTTGTCTATATCTACTTACATAACTCTGAATTAAGAGGCTTATGGCCATATCACATTTGAAACACTGGTTCTCATATGATCACCGAAGTTAAGCCTGGTAAATACCTAGATGGGTGACCACTTGGAAATAACGTGTTGCAAATTTGTCTATATGGATAGTGCAATAGCAACTTGGAGATCTAAGTTCCAATTCAATCAGGTTCCTTATATACACTTATGGACCAATTGGAAAAGGTATGAATCCACAACTTCTCCCTACCCCCACCAGCTATGAGCTAATTAGTAGGATTTGTATCAATAAATCATTATTATCTAAAAAAGAAAAAATAATTATATATTCTCGCTTTAAATAACCTGCAAAAGGTTGATAAACTGTAAAAAAAAACAAAAAACAAATCAATCTGAACTAAGAATAACTAAGTCTAAATCAATGGGAAAATACAAGTAAAAGATTGGTTCTGTAACATAAAAGACATGGAAAACTACATTCACAGAACTGGATATTAAAGACGTCTACCCATCTGTCGTTGAATCTATATTAGTTAAGCAAAAGAATACACAAAAGTCATAATAGACCAACCAAAAATTATAAAGCACTGTCATAGATCACTTCTATTTGACAATAAAACAGCATAGTTGAAAAAAAAGAAGAGAAAAACATTTGACATGAGCATGAGAAGGCATGATGGAATGGAAATTTGGAAACTGGTCAGAATCCTACCTACACCATCTGTGATTATAAACAAAAGAGATATAAGATTGATAAGCTCATAATCCTAACAAACTATTCTAAAAAATAAATAAAATCAGAAAAGCAAATATAAACATTTTCAAAGTAATAGGTTTTGAACTTAAGATTGAAACAAGCTGTTGAGTTACCTTCTAATTTTTGAAATTGCTCCTAGGAGACGTTCTCAGGACTAAATTTTCTGCAATATTTTTCTCATTATCTTCTCACCTTATCCACTTATTTGTCAACATGTAACTTCTCATGGAAAATGCATTCCCTCTGGGAAATGCATGAACAATATTCACACACACACATCATGCATGTACGCACATTCACTTTGGATCAAAAAGATTTTCACATTCTTATGTTACACACATCATTTTCTTTGTCACTTTTAAATCTTTCTTGTTGCTTCTTCACATTTATTTGCATGTACTCACATCCTGAGTCTGCCATGATTGTTGTGGGTATTTCAGGAGACACATGTTTAGTTTATCTCTCAATGCATACACTGGCCTGCAACAAGTAGGTGACACCCAACATGATAATTATTTTCATTGCGTCCTGGGTATGACAATAAACTACATCTGTGTCCTGAGTAAGACAATAAACTATGTCCAACAGCAAGGCCTCTGATCAGGAGGTTCTGAGCAGCATGGAACCACCTCATAATTGCTGGTGTTCCCAGGTCCACTCTGACCCAGGGTGGTAGTACCTGTTTAGGGTCCAAACTATGGGCAAATAGTTAACCCCAAAACTCGGTTTAAACCCCTTCAATACATCTTTTGATGAAAAATTATTACCAGCAATACATTTTTGTACATAATTATTAGCCATACATTATTATCAGCAATAAATTTTTAAAGAAAAATAATATTACCAGCAATACATTTTTGTAAAAAAATATTATCAGTAATGAATTTTTGGAAAAAAAAATTACCAACTATACATTTTTGAAAGAAATATATAACCAGCAATAAAAATTGTTGACATTAAATAACCCACTGAGATTGATATGCCATAAAAATCAATAATTGCCTTTCAATTACTGCTACATTGGTCCATCAGTAGGCAAACACACTCTTTATCCCCACTGTCTTTTTGCTTGACCCTTTTTTTCTCTCAGGCGCTTTTATACTTGACTTGACCTCAACCAGCAGATATCACAAAATCTCCCCCCATGACAAAACAAAAATACAAACTTCATTTCAACTTTAATCAATACTGTTTCTTCTGGGCTCATCTGATAAAGTGTGACACATCTCAAAAGGTGACTCACTGTCCATTTTTTTCACTCTTTGATGATGACACTCAAACAACACTAAAAATTTGTAAGTATGATATACAATTGACAATAATAGCAATTTCTTTTTAAATTCTCAAACATGCATTCGACACTCAGTAAAAATTTTTCTACAACGCTGCTTCTATAAAATTTTGTGCATCAACAACATTGTTCATGCATAGCAAACAAACAAGGCCTTTCTCAAACAAAACACTTCCAATGACAAGGAACAAATACAACTGGACAACAAAACCAATTCTACATGGAGCACTGGAAAAAGACAAATTTTAATAGCAAACACTGAACAATTTACACTACTGATGCATTTTCCAGAGCATGCTACATTCAAATAGAAAATAAGACAGCACCCTGATTACAGCACAAATACATTTTGTCAAACCACACATCTCAATCATATTTCTGACACCTTTTCTTTTCAGTTCATAAGGACAGAAACAAAACTTACATGAACTTTGGGAAATGCATAAACAATATACACACACACCCACATATGTACACACATTCACTTACTTCACATCCTTTGGACCAAAAAGATTTTCACATTCTTATGTTACACACATCATTATCTTTGTCACTTTTAAATCTTTCTTGTTGTTTCTTTTCATTTATTTACATAGATTCACATCCCAAGTTTGACATGTTTGTTGTGGGTATTTCAGGAGACACACATGTTTAGTTTATCTTTCAATGCATACACCAGCCCACAGCAAACCCAAAAAGAGAGACATTTTAGACACAACTTTAAAATCTCTACATAGGTATATATCTACCATACAGAAAAGAAAACAACATATACACACTTAGACAACATAAAGAGATTATCTAACAGCTCATCATTAAGAATTTCAATAATGCAAAAGACAAGTATGAAATAGCACTAAAAGCCCTTTTTGCTTCCCAGAAATTTGAAATGTATCTTTCTGATTCTAAATACAAGTGTCCTTTTTATTTCTATTTTGCATAAAATTCCCCATTGCTCACATGTTCTGTTCATGGTATTCTCAGTATCCTTCTGTAGAACCACAATTCCGTTTCTGTTGCTCCAAGTCTCTCCTTCCTCTGGGAGAAAATTGTTTTCAAAGATGAAGAGGAGATACATCATAAAACAAAAATGCAACAGCAAATCACCAGTATGCTGCAAACACTCACCTGTAACTGCAGATCAAAGTATGAATGGCCTCTAAACAGTAATTGACTACAAAATAATATAATATATATGAAGCTAAGATAAAATCCAAAAAAAGAAATATATATATATATATATATATATATATATATATATATATATATATATAGGAATAAGGAAGGTCTATGGAAATGATAAAAATTTTCTTTCTTCTTTTTTCATACCTCATTCTCTGACAAAGCTTTAATAAATGTGAAACAGAGATTGATAAACATTTCTTATTTGTCCTTTATCCTATCATACATTATTATTGTTGTTGTTGAAATATAACAATATATATTATTGTTGTTGATGTTGTTTCAAATTTGTTATACTTATCAGGGAAGAGTGCTCAATGTTGGAGATAAAACATTTAGTGTGGACATAGGAGTCAACACTTCATGGTGACAGTCAGTTTCACACTTTTTAATGTCATTTATTAGAATTTAACTTGAGAACCACAACTACAATATTTTACAAGATCATGTTCTAGCCTTTCTTCTAATCCTTACCCCACCCTTTTCCCCCTGCTTTTAAATCCGGCTTACCAGAGATTAGAATATATTTTTCTGACTAACGAGAGAACTGGAAAATATCAAAGGAGTTTGAACATCATTATCTTGTCTTTGGTGCCATGAAGTCTCGGGGTAACGCTCACAACTTGTCAGACCCTTGCTTCCAAAAAGCACCTCCCTAAACCTTGATACTTATCAGAGATAATATATTTTTTATCAAATGAAATGGCCAGGAAATTTGTATAGCAATTTTGGAGGGAAAAGTCCCCACTATTTTCTGAGCCTCCTTATCCTCATAAATACGGATAATTTACACCTGTTTGGCAGTGAGTATTCTACCACCATCCATGAAGTGAAAAACAGAAAGGCAGTCATCTTCAAGAAAAAACTACCTACTATGCGCAGTTGAGAAAGAACATGAGTCCACTACTAAAAAGTAAAAAACAATATATATCCAAGATATCTATAGCCGGCCTACAAAATTTGTATCTTCCTCCATTTCCTACTCTGCAAGAACTGTGAAGAAAACTGTGAGTGTTTTTTTAACTCTTAACAACAATCTACTCGCTTAAAGAACTTTTAGGCACTCAGAAAAATATTTTGAGCAAGCCTTTTTCTTTTATGAACATTTTTTCTTCCTTAAAGTTAACGTAATTTTCTTCTCCCTTTCTTTCTCTCGTATTTGTGTTTCACAGTTTCAGTTTATCTCTTTTACCCTTTTTTTTTGTACATGTAAATAAACATTTTCTTCTTTTATTGTTACCCACTGTTCAAGAGTTTGAGTCTTTCTTTATTTTTCCGCCTAAAAGAGAGAATTTGTCCGCTCTAATCTTTCAAGCCGTATTGCTGTTTTATTCAATTTTGAGCTTTCGATGTATATTTAACTTTTTAGTTTTACTTAGCTTATTTTAAAACAGAGCTCACTGCACGTTTCTGAGTACATATACCCATCTGCTTCAACATGTGTGTTGTGTGTAGGTAGATGTGTATATGTAAATTATTGTAAATTAAATACGAGTATTGAAACTTTTTTGACCCAGCTTACTTCCTATAGTTCAATGAGCAAAAATCAGAATGTTTGATTTTGGGAAGGGGTCGGATCATGAACCTTTCAGTACATGCACGTATATGTGTAGTAAGTAGCGTACAAAGATTTGTAGCGGATCCCATGGAGGGGGGCGATATGAAACAACGGCCCGAGTGCCACCCTATCGTAGATGAGGTTACAAGATGCCCGCTAACGTTTTTGAATTAAAGACGTGAAATCTGACAAGATGAAACAAAATGGAAAACAGAACGAGTATATGTATGAATGCTAAGTTTATTTACAAAGCAGAAGCCGTAGGTTAGATTGGTAATAGAAAGGTGGTCGGACTAGTCTGGTCGAAGGTTGAAAGTTGAGATGCAGACGTTCCGGTCGTGTC